ATAGTAACTTGTTTCTATCGAATAAGTATAATAGCAATAAAGCAAGTCAGGTAGGCTCGCACAGTGGGTTGGGAGAATGCAACGAGATCCTCTACAGGAGACACGATTCTATATGATAAGAGTTGCTCAGAAATGGTCAAACGATGGTATGTAAATACGGATCGGAGGGAATCCTACAGTATGGATCTCAGCGCCCAGGACGTATCTTTCAACCAACTTCCTCAAATTATCAGCTTCCGCAGCAACATGCTGTGCGTGACGTGCCAGTGGCATGGAATGAGAGGCTGCCCTTTGAGTTACTGCTTGGGTTACCTATCACCTCAACGAAGGAGGGATACTCTCAGCACAGCGGCATCTTCACGCCACTCAGCAACTAGTACGGTTAGACGGATTAGGGAACAACATCTACACAGTGAATCGAGATTGTATGTAGTTTAGCAAAGTTACGAGAAATAGTCAGATTTGCATTGAGTTCAGCTCTCAATGAGAGCCTCTCATGCGAGAAGTACTCACTGGAGTGCGAGCGGAGACGCTACTATTCAGGCCTTCATTTGTATATATAAACTGTACTGTATAATATAGTGATGCGGTCATTAAAGTAGACGGAATGGCTTGTACTCACTTTGGCGGCTCCAACAGCGGCTTCACCAGCGACGGCCTTTTGTGTCGGGACAAATGCCAGCTCGGGATGCACAAGGAGCTTATTATTCTAAAGGGAGCATGCTATACCGCTCCTTCCGTATTTCACGTGAGGAGCAAGGAGGTGCATACTTGCCAGCTAGCCTGAAGTGCTAGATCAGCTCCCGGCATGTTCGAGAAGAGATTTTGTAGGAGCGCATTAGGCCCTACCATTGGAAGGGTCTATACAGTTCAAGAGACTGAGAAACTGCGATAGGTATTCAGCTGAGGCTCATGAATACGTCCAGTTATTTGCCACAACACAATAACCTCGATCAAAATTGGAAAAAGCGAATAAGCAGAGGTAGAAAGGCGAGAGGAAGAAGAACTCCTCGACATGAGGAGTTCTTGATCAGTGTGATCCTCAGACGTGGCCGATGGAAAAGGTCCGACTTTATTTGTGGAATGAAGGTAGATACGGAACAAAGGAAAGAGGTGAAGCGGGAAAATAGGAGAATAATAATTATTCACGAGAATAATAATCATTGCGTGAATTATTCACGCAGCCCTCCCGGTGTGGCGGGCCAAGAGTCCCATCTCCGTATTCCGAAGCTCGAAATACGTGCGGGAGTTGTTGTCCATTTACCAATAATCGAGGTCAACTCGTTGGGCCAGTTACATCCCACCTTCGCCTCAATTATTTGTCGTCCTTTTTTCCAACCTCCCGCCCACCCTGGCGATGTGGTGTGGCACCTCACGTTCCGTGTGAGGTTGGCCCCATCACATTGGCCGAGGATCACACGTGTTTAGTGTCATCCTCCGGCCCACGACCCAACGCCGGGGAGGAAGGGATCCGGGTCACCGATCAATCAATCGAGACGTTTTCTACCTGAGTCGAAGCTTTTGTGAATTGTGCATCGCGTCATAAAAGAATGCATTGCATTCAATGCAAAAGCTGCCGTTGACAGTTTCGCCTCCGGTAACAACCGCCTTAGGCCTATCATCGAGGGCGAAATTTATCCTTCTGCTCTCTCTGACTCTCCGAAGTTAGAGGCAAATATAGAGAGTCGCGGATCATGACTCGCGGCGTCGTCGTCCAACTTGCGACTGGACCTATTCCTCGGCTCTAAAGCTCTCAACATTTTGAGTGCTACTCGAGCGCAGCTCTGAGCTACTAGCTCAGGACTGAACACTCTTGAGACCTATCTGCCATCTGTTGCTTCAAGACTTCTAATCCCGTCCCCAGCGGTATCATTTCGTTTTGCATTCTCACTGCTAAAAACGGCCAAAGATGGGAAGGATGAGACGTCACTCATGATCGTCCTCCCTACTGTATCCATTGCCAGCAATACGTCGACAACATCCAGCTTACAGTTGATGATGCAATACCCCTACAAGAACCACTCGTCCACCAATTGACATAGACTGCAAGAACACTTCGGAGAGTAGTGGCTTGAAATGAATCACTATTAAAATAACACTGGAAAGTCCATACAAGGCTTCGTCAATCCTTCGACAAGTCATGTCCACATGATCTCTCCACAGGCTAGTTTACTATTGGGATAATATTCACCACTATGGCGAGATGTCTCTTAAGAGCTGATCTTCCGGACTCCCAGCAACTGCCTTAGTCTTCAGCCCAGCCCGTTTGTCAACACTCTCGGACGAACCAGATCCTTCTGCTTTCCCGACCTGCATCGCCGCATCTCCGCGTGCGGTAGCCTTAGAACTATTAGCTTTGCTTCGGTTAGCGGTAAGTTCGTTGAAACGGTTATCTATATCAGTCTGAAACAGGAGTTGTGAGGACTGAATCTAACGATTGACTTGACGTTTCCTCAAACAGCGAGTCCTCAGAACTGGAATACTCATATCTTGCGTAAGTAACCGAAACATCAAGGAAAATTTCAGCGAATCGTATTTTTGACGATCGAAGCAATTCCACTTCGTCGAGTCGATGAAAAAAAGTTTTCGAGTCGACAACTTTCATCGTTATACTTCTGCAGACAGAGCCGATCTAAGCTCGTGCTAGCCACAGTCAGCCGGCAAATAGGAGACGAAATTATCTCACCTCGAGATACGCGAAACCCATTTCGGTGACATTCAAAAGTCGCTCGAAGTAATCATGGAGATCCTGCCGCGTTTCCTCCCGCCAGGCAAGGACTTCTGAAGTGCTATTCTGCAGTAGACGCGCTTCGATCGCTGCCTGAGAGCGACGAAGGAAAAGCCAACAAGCAGTATACAATGCACTGTGCACGCGAACTATCTGCGACAGCAAGTTCCAACCTCACTGAGGGTGCCTCAGAACTTGTTTATGACCTCTACAATATTTCAGATCATATGATGCAAACAGAGAAAAGATCCTATTTCGTGATACCCCGTCGGGGTAACCCCGACGAGGATTCTTCGAACCACACCAACTCCGAATATCGGGTCCTCGAATTTATGAAACATATTTCCTATCTGCTCGTAAACCATGATGTCCCATCACTGATGGGCCATCAGAGTACCCATTAGGTCAGCGACTCACCCCTTGCGCGAATATGAGCTTCTCAGTGTCTCTGCGATGAGCTGTTATAGTAGTCGCCGCTGAAATATGGCCCGTCACCACTGCCAGTACCATCACAGTGAACACCGTCAAAACAACTAATATCGCCAACACTGGTCTCTCCCGGATAGACCGAAGGGCTCTGAAGATAACTCATGGTAGGAAAGTTCATGTTGAAGAGTTACCTCCACGTTCCAGTTATGAGGTTTTCATCTGGTTGTAAACCTGAGAGTGCGAGGAAACAGATCGAGACTGTCACTAGAAAAGCCAAATATTTCAACTACTCGGCCAGGAGCACTATTATCGATATCATTACCCCCAAAGAGTCTATACTGACCCTCCTCTTCTTCTGCTGTGCGCTTCTCTAATAGTGCAGCTTCCAGCTCAGAGACACGCCGTATGAGGTCCTCGCTTGATGCCCTCACAGTTCCCAATTCAACCTGAGCCCAGATAAACACTCACGCCACGCAGCTCGAAGCAGAAAATCCTCCTCTATTCGGCAAATATATTTCTCAATGGTATAGTCCATAGCGGTGGGCGGCATAGCGGCCCCTCTATTCGGCAAATATATTTCTCAATGGTATAGTCCATAGCGGTGGGCGGCATAGCGGCCCCTCTATTCGGCAAATATATTTCTCAATGGTATAGTCCATAGCGGTGGGCGGCATAGCGGCCCCTCTATTCGGCAAATATATTTCTCAATGGTATAGTCCATAGCGGTGGGCGGCATAGCGGCCCCTCTATTCGGCAAATATATTTCTCAATGGTATAGTCCATAGCGGTGGGCGGCATAGCGGCCCCTCTATTCGGCAAATATATTTCTCAATGGTATAGTCCATAGCGGTGGGCGGCATAGCGGCCCCTCTATTCGGCAAATATATTTCTCAATGGTATAGTCCATAGCGGTGGGCGGCATAGCGGCCCCTCTATTCGGCAAATATATTTCTCAATGGTATAGTCCATAGCGGTGGGCGGCATAGCGGCCCCTCTATTCGGCAAATATATTTCTCAATGGTATAGTCCATAGCGGTGGGCGGCATAGCGGCCCCTCTATTCGGCAAATATATTTCTCAATGGTATAGTCCATAGCGGTGGGCGGCATAGCGGCCCCTCTATTCGGCAAATATATTTCTCAATGGTATAGTCCATAGCGGTGGGCGGCATAGCGGCCCCTCTATTCGGCAAATATATTTCTCAATGGTATAGTCCATAGCGGTGGGCGGCATAGCGGCCCCTCTATTCGGCAAATATATTTCTCAATGGTATAGTCCATAGCGGTGGGCGGCATAGCGGCCCCTCTATTCGGCAAATATATTTCTCAATGGTATAGTCCATAGCGGAGGGCGGCATAGCGGCCCCTCTATTCGGCGTGTACAAAGAATACTCGATAAGTAATGCTCTATTGGGGCTGCCACCGTTCCCACCTGTGCGGGCTGTAATACTTGGCCGATCACAATTTTCATATTCGAGGTTGTACTCCGCTATGAGTATGTAAGGCTAACTAACTTTATCTGGCATTAACTCGATGATCAGGATAACACTCTATCACTCATCATTTCCGGATGACGTGTCTCCCCGCATGCCGATCGAAGATCATGGTGTGGTTTGCAGTAGAACTCTGGGAAGTCTATCAAACCTAGTCCCGAGTGGTGTCCGTACCACCCCACCATAGCCCGCATTACCGATATTAAGTCGTTGTTTGCTATGAGCCTCCTTTGCAACTCCTCTGCCTTCTCTATCTCACTAGTCTTCCGCAGCACATGCACTACCAACGGCACTCGAGACGACGTTGGTTTGGAGAAACATTCCTGACATAGTTATATCACGAATATCGATAAGCCAAACTCCTAAGAATTAGTGAGTTCCAAAATCTAAAATTCTTAGCATCTCACCAAAGACTCAATAAGAAGATCTGAGTAGGAACAAGACATGGAGGGCAGATAAGAAAAACGGCTGAGAGCAAGCGAATAAATCAGCACACGAAAAGCGTTTCTGAATGGGAGATGTTCCGGGTATATGAGTAAGACTCGATAAACGCTTACCAAAAGTAGATTTCACCGTGACGCCATAACGTCGGCATATAATTGAACTCTGGAGTTCCTATCAATACTACTTGTGTCAGAGGGAAGTTAGCTGCCGTCATCAGCTGGCATGAACCAGTGTCTGCAGGATCCCATCTCTGCCCAACCCATTCACTGAGTTCTCCTAAAGATCCGACTTGCAACTCGTATGAGCTCTTCTGTGTGCCACTAGAATTGCCCAGGAGCTACATTAACCGATACAAAGGACGTTCCTTCACCTTTGCTACCTTCACAATGACATGCTTGGTCACATAAGGACATCCATCACGCATTTCAGGAATAGGCTCAGCGACCTCTCCGTAATCGAACGCAGCATTTACTTTCCCATCTCCTCGCCTGAGGAAACACATCACTATAGAGAACCTCATACGAGAGCACATTGTGTCCACTTTAAAACCTGATTCCCATTGGCTCGACCATTGCGTCGAAGACTAGAATACGGATACTGTCGCATTGATAGTGAAATGACTGATAACAATCCTGACCCTTATCGGGCACTACTCTCCAGGGTGGCCCGCATCTGGAATTACCGGTAGTTCTCAGACACTCACTATTCGCTGTTTATCATCATCAAGGTGCATTTCAATAACACGTGTATTAACCTC